TTTTTTTTTTTTCCGAGACAGGGTTTCTCTGTGTAGCAGCTCTGAAACTCTACAGAGATCCACCTGCCTCTGCCTCCCCGAGTGCTGGGATTAAAGGCTGCACCACCACCACCCTGATTTAGGCAGGGTCTCTTAATTGAGGCCAGAGTCCATGGATTTGCTATCGATCCCTTTTCCTGTCTTCTGAGCTCTGGAATCACAGGGGCTGCCATGGCCATCGGCATTCCTTTGTGTGGGTGCTGGGGATCTGAACTCTGGCCCTCATGCATGTAGGAACCTACCCACCAAGCTGGGTCCCAGCTGCTGTTGCTGCTTCCTCCTCCTCCACCCCCCCCCCTTTTTTTTTAATGGCTGGCTGGGAACTCACTATGGAGGTGAGACTGGCCTCTTACAACTGGGATTAAAGGCATGCTCCCCTATGCCTGACCAGTGTTCAAGCCTAGTTACCAGAGCCAAGTTCCAATCCAGCAGAGTCAAAGAGTTCTCAACCTGTGGGTCGCAGCCCCTTTGGGTGAAGAGGGGGAGGTCGAAGGACCTTTCCACAGGGGTTGCCTAAAGCCATCGGAAAACACAGATTATTTAGATTATGATTCATAATACTAGCAAAATTACAGTTGAAGTAGCAACAAAAATAATTTTATGGTTGGGGGTCACCACAACGCGAGGAGCCGTACTAAAGCATCACAGCATTAGGAAGGCTAGGAACCACTGCGCTAAGCCATCTGCAACCCATTGAATTATGACAGCTAAATTCTAGTCTGGTTCTAAAGAAAAAGCCCAGGCTGTTGGGGGGGGTGTATTTGGCTTCTCACCACAGCTCTGGAGGTCCCAGGTTCTCTCAAGTCCTCTCACTATGAGCCTGTGTCTGTCTTTCTCTTCCAGGACACCAGTGAGGAGCTGAATGAGTAGACACCCTCTGGATGCAGAGACCGGGGAGGCGGGTGACAGGCCCATCTCGGGAGGGGGTTGGGGCTCGGGGCTCCTTGGGCGGCCATAATGGGGAAGTGTGTCTCCTCTGTTCAGAGAGCAGGGACTAGAGTAGGACCCCCCCACCGCTGTGTCCAGCAGTTGCTGAACCACGATTGGAAACGTATTCAAAATGTCACAGGACACTTTTCTACGTTGGTGCAAAATGAAATATTTTGTATGTTTTTAAAATGTGACTTTTGTATCTACTTGTATATGTATGCCAATTTGGTGCTTTTTGTATGAGAACTTTTGTATGATCACGCCTGGTCATTGTGTGACTGGCGATTGTCACAAAGAGGGAAGGAAGCCAAGGTAATAGAGCTGCCCACTTCCCTTCCTTGGTGGGAGGGTGGGTCTCACTCAACAGCCTGGGAAGGGGCAATGTACTGTATTTCAGTGCCCGTCCCCAAAGACGGGGAGAGTACTGAGTTTGTGCTATATGTTGTTTTAATAAATGCACAGAGGGCTGGGCATGGGGGCCCAATACCCTTTCATCCCAGCACTCCAACTGGATCTCTGTGAGTTCGAGGCCAACCTGGTCTACATGGGGAGTTCCAGACCAGCCAGGACTACATAGAGAGCCTCTGTCTCATAAAATAATAATGAAAAAGAATAAAAAATAAACTTACAGCGCTTTTTTCATGTAACTACAAAAGAGGTGTGACTTCATTCAGCTTGAGTGCTTGTGTGTGTTGCTAACGATGGAACTGAGGACCATGAGGTAGTGGATGAAAACTACCCTGACCTGCAGGGTGCCCCAACCCTCCTTTAGTCTGGTTTTCTTTGTTTGTTTTGATTTGTTTCATTTTGAGGAGAAAAGAATTAAGAGTCAACCAGTCTGTAATCCCTTTCCAGTCTCAGAGAGCAGTTCAGAGTCAGTTCATCCACAGCCAAGCAGAACACAGGGCGACACAAACACTGGAAACAGAAAACAAAAGGAAGCTGACCTGGTGGCTCAGGCCTTTAATCCCAGCACTTGGGAGGCAGAGGCAAGTGGATCTCTGTGAGTTCGAGACCAGCCTGGTCTACAAGAGCTAGTTCCAGGACAAGCTCCAAAGCTACAGAGAAACTCTGTCCCGAAAAACCAACCAACCAACCAACCAACCAACCAACCAACCAAAACAAAACAAAACAAAACAAAAAACAAAAAACCATGCTGATAAAGATGGATGTTAGTGTGCACACCTGTAATCTGCACATGAGTCTCAGCAGGACTGCCATGAGTTTGAGACCACACTCGGCTACGTGTCAAGGGTCAGACCAGATACATGCCAGGGATACATGGTTAGGCATGGTTTTGACAGAAACAAGCCTAGGGAATCCTGGCAGTGGTAGCACATGCATTTAATCCCAGCACTGGGGGAGGGGGGCAGAGGCAGGTGGATCTCTATGAGTTCAAAGCCAGCTTGGTTTACACAGCAAATTCCAAGACTGTTGGGGGCTGTGGACCCAGACCCTGAATTTCCTGTACACAATTTGTTATGCTTACAGTTGCTCTGAGCAAAACAACTTGTTTTCCTTTTTTGCAGCTGCTCTGAGCACGAGACCCTCAGGAGTTCTTGATGGCAGGGGAGGGGTTTCTGGTGGGTTTGGCTGGAGTGTGGCTATCAGTTAAGGATCCTTAGATCCCTATATAAGCGACTCTGGTACACAATAAAGAGGGCATTCCTGTTTCAAGGATGACCCTTGTCTCTGTCTGTGTGTCTTTGTGTGTTTAAATCTCCAGGCCCTTGCCCGGCTCGCCCTTGCCGGCAAATGGTCCTGTAGTGCAGGCGCCGCATTACAGGAATCGTACCATAGTACGCGTAGTACAGACTGTACACAAGACAGCCAGGGCTCTTACACAGAGAAACCCTATCTCAAAAACCAAAACAACAACAAAAACAAGCCTAGGGTATAGAGTTCGCTGACGGAATGTCTGTCTACCTTTCGTGAAGTCTCCTTTACTTCAATCCCCAGCACGGCATAAACCAAGCATGGTGACACAAGCCTATAATCCCAGTGCTTATGGAGTAGAGGCAGGGGAGTCAGGAGTTCAAGTCTGAACTACACTTGAGTTTGTTAGTTTTTGTTCCGCCCCACTTTTCTTATTTATTAATCTATTTATCTGTTTTAGGGCTTCTATTGCTGTGAAGAGACATCACTTGTTTTTGTTCTACAAGACAGGGTTTCACTGTGTAGCCCTGGAACTCACTCTGTAGACCAGGCCGGCCTCTGCCTCACGAGTGCTGGGATTAAACGCCTGCATCGCTACTGCCCAGCTTTCGGTCAGATCTTACAGATGCATTTCCTCAACTGAGGTTCTTTCCTGATGACTCTCGCTTGTGTCAAGTTGACACACAAAACCAGCCAGTGTACCTTGGAAGCTTCTGTGCCAGTGCCAGCCCAGCTCTTCACGCTTGCATGGGTCATGACTCCGTTCTTTCTGCTGTCACACACCTGGTTTTCTTTTTTAAGCATTTTTTTTTTTGAGTGGGGAGAAGACATGACAGTTCAAACTAATTAAGAAAAACATTTTTGGGGTTAGGGAGATGACTCAGAAGCACCGGCTGCTATTGCAGAGGACCTGGCTTTGGTTCCAGCACCCACACGGTGGCCCACAACTGTCTCTAACTCCAGTTCCAGGGAATGGGGCCGAAGCCCTCTTCTGACTCCAAGGCTCCCGGTGCACATATATACATGCAGGCAGAACACACCTGCACACCCAATAAAGATAAACAAATCTTTAATAAAGAAAAGAAAAATACTTTTAAAACTGAGGCCTTTTATTTTATTTTCATCTCTCACACCACGAATTGGCAGGGAATGGGCTCCTCCCTCTTAGCTCTCACTTGCACGCTTCTCTGGGTAGAGCAGCCTGGTACTTCAGTGGGACCCAGGTACCTCTCTCTCTTTGGTTTGTGTTTTCCTTTCCCTGTTTCAGGAAGTCATTTTAGACCATGCTCAGCCTGCACACTGATTCTCTCAGAAGCTGGGCCTCAACTCACTTGTCCACAATGCCAACAGCACCGGGTGACTGTGTAGACTCTGCCAGTTTTGCCATGGTGACACTTCCGGGGCGTCCCTCTTTGACCCACACTTGTTTCTTTGATGTCTGCGGTATGGCTCTTCTTGGAAAGCCACGTACAAGGCTTAGTGAGCTGTACTAGGTGCCTCCCTTCTCTGCCACTGGGAGACGTTCTGTCTGAAAAAAAGAAAGAAAAAGGAAAGGGAAGGGAAGGACATGACTGCTTCTAGGTGTGGTGGAGGAGAAGGTTTATTGTGCTGTGTCGGAGAGGAGAGCATAGCCAGAAGCAGGGACATCTGGGAGAGTCCAGAGTGGACATGACCAGACTGAGCTGGGCCATGCGGGGAGAGGCCAAAGGCACAAGAGGGGTGGGTAGCCAAAGTGGCTGGATAATATAAGGAAAAGCAGTGAGTTCTTTTAACCACTGACTATCTCTCCAGCCCCCTTGCTGAAGTTTTAAATGAAATTTTTGGTTGGGTGAGTGAGTTTGTGTGTGTGTGTGTATGTATGTATGCATGTGTGTATGTTTTGGAATTGAACCCAGGGCTCTAGCAATGCTAGCCAAGCACTCAATCACTGAGCAACATCCTTAGCACAAACCCTCGCAAGTCAATTAAAGTCCTTTCGCCGGGTGGTGGTGGCGCAGGCCTTTAATCCCAGCACTCGGGAGGCAGAGGTGGGCGGATCTCTATGAGTTCAAGGCCAGCCTGGTCTACAAGAGCTAGTTCCCAGGACAGGCTCCAAAACTACAGAGAAACCCTGTCTCGAAAAACAAAAAAAAAACAAACAAAAAATTAAAGTCCTTTTTGGGGAACTCAAGGAAATGCTGACCTCAAATGTAATTTCTCCTGATAAACTCTCAAGGCTGTGCTTTGGACACCAGATGCCCACACGGCACGGCAGGAAACTGATTTTACAGTGGACCACGCAGGTTGTCCACAAACTCAGTTCAGTCTGCCTGTGGTGCTTGGTTGATGCCAGGCAGAGCCCCAGATTTCATCTTCTCACAGCTGCCCTCCTTGGGTTCCCTCCAGTCACTAACACTAAGAACCCAGGCAATGCTAACTCTAACTAATCCACCACAAAGAATCTAGATAAGGGACAGAGGGCAGTGCTTCTGGGAAGGGGTGGAGACACTGTGCCTTCTCCAGGAACACCAACTTCCAGGAGCCTTCCTAGGTTTGGTTTCGGAAGCTTCTGGAACTCTGAACTTTGTTTTTTTTTTGTTTTGTTTTGTTTTGTTTTTGTATTGGAGAAGTCCTCTGGTAAACACAGTTAAATCACAACCCTGAGGATTTGATTGGATGAACAGGACATTACCAGCCCGGGTGGGGACTGGCAGCAGAGCCTGTTAGGGCACCTTCCTCAGCCCAGACACCAGGTAGGGCCCTCTGGTTGGTCAGGCCCCTGAATTCTTTTATGATTGGCTCCTAGATACTAGGTGGGGAAGATTAGAATTTAAGGCAGGAGGCTCCTTAGCTCAAGGTCACCTTCCCTTCTGCTGACTAAAGAGCCGCCTGGGCTACCTTGATCCAGTCTTATAACAAAACTGTCTATGAGTTGTCCTAAGAAAGATTTTAGTTTCTTCTGCCTTCCTCGGGAAGGAATTAGTTGGGGGGGGGGGGAGTACTAGCTCTAGCTCGCAGTCCCCGAGGTTCACAAATTCCAAGCCTGCCTAGGTCACGTAGGGAGACTGTCCTAAGTCAAACAGGGTCCTAGTAAATTGTCCAGGCTACCCTCAAACTCTGAGCTCCTTCTGCCTAAGGCTCCTTAATCCCTGTGGTTACAGGCGTGTGCAGCTGTGTCACGGGTTTCAGTCTAATTTCACAGGTGTTTGGGCACCCAACTAGGTTCTCAATGCTAAGCCGGGCAGACCACTGGAGATCCTAGGAGAAGAGTCCTCTGGTCCCTGCTTCCCGGTCAGCTGAATGCCCAATGCACCATGCCCAGAAATACTTGCTATTACCCAGTCCTCTGAGAAGATTTGGTGTGGGTTTATTGTTGCTTTTTGAGACAGGGCCTACAGCTCTGAAGTACCCCAGGCTGGCCTCAGGCTAGCTATGTTGCCAATGATAACCTTGAACTTCTGATTTTTTTATTTTTATTTTTTTTGGTTTTTCGAGACAGGGTTTCTCTGTGGTTTTGGAGCCTGTTCTGGAACTAGCTCTTGTAGACCAGGCTGGTCTCGAACTCACAGAGATTCACCTGCCTCTGCCTCCGAGCGCTGGGATTAAAGGCGTGCGCCACCACCGCCTGGCTTGATTTGTTGTTGTTGTTGTTGTTTTTTTTTTTTTTTTCCCTTCCACCTTTACAGAGGTGGGCTGTGGAGGGAACTCCAGGAGGCTTCCTGCCTGCCAGGCAAGCACCCTACCTGCGGAGCTACAGCCCTAGCCCTGTCCTGTCTTGTTCTGTTCACTCCTGCCCCCACAGACTACAGGCAAGCTACCATCAGAGGCCAACACTGGGGGGAGGGGGAATAGGGCCCAAGCCCCAGAAAATGCGACTATGGTCTAAACGGGTGTGTGTGGCATCACACCGGTAACCATGTTTTCTCCTAAACAACGAGACAGGACACTGTTCTTTGTAGAGGTGGAGATAAAGCCGGCAATTCCAGATCCTAATCTCAGCGCAAGGCAGAAAAAACTGGTGCGTTTTCAAGGGAAGCTTGGGTCTGTGACCCCAACGATACTACCCTGGGATACTGCGTGTCTCCGTGTACCCCCCCCCACGTAGTCACCCTCCCCCACGCCCTGCAGAAGGAGGCAGACCAGGCCCGCAGCCAGAGAAGAAGATGGATCAAAGCTTCCGGGAAGTCTCTCTTCGAAGCTGAAAGCCCGACCCGTAGCCTCAAGAGTCCCCAGTCATCCTGCCAGTAGTCACATCCCTGCCCTAAGGCCTCTCTCTCTTTCTTGGTTTTTGGAGACAGGTTGTCTCTGTGTAAAGAAGCCCTAACTATTCTGGAATTTACTATGGAGACCAGGCTGGCCTCGAACTCACAGAGATCCGCTTACCTTTGCTTCCTCTCTGGAGTGTTGGGAT